AAAGCTGATTAGCAAAGTACATTTTCTTATCTAAGATTTGGGGAGCACATCAAATAATAAAGATCATGCATGCATGATGCATTCTGGGAGACAAAAATACTTTAAAATGAAGTAAGTATTTGTGGCTCCCAGAAAGCATCAAGCGATAAAGAACACACTTTTTAAACTCTACCATAAATACAAATGATACAAAAGCCTCAATGCATGATAAAAAAAAGTATTTTTACATTCACCTTAAACCTTGGTTGAACTTCTCCCTCACTTTCACACCTCATTGGAAGTGTTTCTCAGTGTTGTTAACACTTTCTCACAGAAATGAAAACATCACAGAAGCCTTGCCATCACTGATCGCCAGACTTCATACCTATGGCTTTGTTAGCATTGTAGGTGTGAAGACATTACTCACTAATTAGGCCTGCAGCTAGAGGTCAGTTTGTAGCCATACCGAAGTGTGAGGCAGCGGCAGGGTTGATAAATGAAAGGAGACATAATGCCCAGCAATGCTTCCTCAACCAATTAAATACAGCACCATGCATTAATGATCCTTTTCAGAGCCAAGAGAAACAGTAGCAGTGGCCAAGCATGGCGCTATCTAGAGAAAATGCTGAAAGTCTAACGGAGCATTATTACTACTACAGCCCCGCTTACTCCACTATGACCAGGAGCTCTTTCCAAGCCAGGAGGAACAAGTACTGACAGGGAGAGACGGGATAACAAAAGCTCACAATAGGCACTTTCACACCGGACAACTTTTACCCGTACTTTTCCCGTTTAGTTCCGTTAGTGCCTGGAATTTTGCGTTCACACCAAAAAGAGAACTTAGTTCAGAGAACTTTTACCCCCATTTTTAATGCCTGCTAGAGAGGTGGGACTTTCTTGGGGAGAAAAAAGTACCAATTTCCGATTGGCTTGGCGGATTGCAAACCACGCCCCGTAAAACTCTGAAAAGTTTTTTTAAGCGTCCATTGTATTTGCTGGCATTAGTATTATTAGCATTAGCCCCGCGCACCAATGCAGAGAGAATAACTTATGGCAACACAAAAAAAAACATGGGAGCGGTGGAGTGAGGAGGAGGTGTCGCCGTTCTGGCGATTTACTCGGAAGGCTTGGGTAATCTTCCCTCAGGGAACTTATTCCGGTGTGAACGTGATCGGCTCTTAGTTCCATGGGAGAACTAAGTGCTGGGAACTAAGTGCTGGGAACTAAGTACGGCAAAGTACTTGGTGTGAAAGCGGCTAATGCAAAAAAATGTTTCAATATACATTTTTACTTTCTCTAACTGTACCTGAGGATTTGTGTTTTTCAAGCAAATGCCTTTTTTTGTTGGTATTCATACAGCAACAATCTTGCACCAGGCTGCTGCCAATCATTCTATATCATTGGTCATCAACAAAGCAAAGGGTCAACGGCCCTGAGTGACCCCTTGCTAATAGGCCCCTGGTCAGCAATGTTTCTGTTGAGGCAGGGCCTACCTACAGATCAAGAAACCAATACATCTGATACAATTATGTTGATTTTTTGCTAAAATACCCAATTGAAATGACTAGAAATGCACAATTTAAATTTCCAAATGTCAGTAATTAGGGAAAAAAGGACAATCTAAGGCAGGGGTATCAAACTCAAGGCCCGTGGGCCAAATCCGGCCCGTGACTTCACTTCATGTGGCCCCACATGAGCTTGCAAAGAATATAATATTTTTTTATATGGTAGCCTACGGTTACATGCCCCTTTACAGAAGCACGTTGTCCATAAACTACATGTCCCACAATGCATCTCAAATGTGACTTTTTACCCAGAATTTGGCTTTTCTTTTAAAATCATTTTGTGATGTGCGCACTGAAGACACTTGCAATTATTTGCGCTAGACTTCTTCTCTCAGACGTAGTTATTACCCTATCCCATTATAATCCAATGCAGAGGCAATAATGTAATATAATACATTATTTTATATATATTAAATATTTATATATAGTCTTGAAGTTACAGCCGGCCCTTTGAGTGCAACCATAACGCTAATGTGGCCGGCGATCAAATTGAGTTTGACCCCCCTGATCTAAGGCGTCTAAAAGTACTTTTGAACATTAAAGAGACATTGACATAAAACCACTTTGATATCATTAGTGACTATTGTTCATATTGTCAGCCTCAATCTTCAAAACACAGAGTAGACAGACGTTTATGTTGCTGCATCCTCAGGGTTAACCATGCATTAGGCCATGCAAGTAAAAAGAAGAAGTGAGCAGACTGACACTTGACCTCAGAAGATACAGCTGCAAACAGAGATGAATAGAAGCTCTTAACAACCATGATCACAATGACAGACAAACAGAACCTTCCACCAAACACTCTGTGGCACACAATAGGCTATGGGCGAAGTTAATGATGATCAAATGCAGCAATTAGAGCGCTGGATACAATTAGCAAACTCATCCAGCAATATGAGGGAGGAAGGAAACTCCAATCCAAAAAGGCTTCAGCAAAGACAGCCTTTTAGCTCGCTACTATGCAGTCAGCTAATTGATGCCCTTCTTCGATCAAGTTCATCACTGACAGCCGGTCTTTTTGCTAATAAAAAGGTTGACGAGGGCAAACGGACCAAGTGTTACAAAGTGCAAAGGCATGTTGTGCCTAGTGCTAGGACATAAATAACCACTAGGGGGTGACTGTGAGAAGACAGGGCAGGGATGCATTGCTGAAAAGAAAAACACATCTGCCATCCTGTTTATGTGGTTATATCCAAATGAGTCTAGTTCAAATGTTTTTCTTTGTATTATAATGATGTCAACAGCAGCCTAAAAGTAAGTTAGAGACAAGAATGAGTGACAAGTTGTGATATTAATGTTATTGCCGCCTAACCACAGTTTTGGGTGTTGGTTGATTTTGGCTTCCTCATTACGCTTATTTTGACCGATGTGGAATAACAGCTGTGCCTTTGGTGCGAGGGTTTTGCAGAGTACAAACTCTCTGAGTAAATCAGGCCGGATGACTGAGGAGACATGGTAGTGATTCTAACTAGGGCATCTGACCTTCTCTATCTTTAAGAGTCAGCCGTAGAGGGCATTCACTCAGCAAGATTAAACATGATATTTTAAGGAGCGAGCATGAGGCAAAGTGAAAGCAAGAGGCCACTCTTCCACTGAGGAACACCCATTTCAATTAATAGCGCCATTGTTGTTCCTTCCCTGTGCAAACATAGTGCATCACTCTTTTGTAACAAATACAAAACGAGTACACTTGAATCTGTCACAGTGGGGTTATAGTATCTCCTGTAACTATCACATACTTTAATTATGTCATTTCAAATAAACATTTGTTGACGTGCCGGACATCATATATAATTTTCTCAGAGAGGGGTGCATTATTAGGCTTTCTGCTCAGGCCTTTAGTAAAAGGTTTTGTACTAAACACTAAAGGATAATCTTACAACTTGGACTTTATTTTGTACACAACAAAGTCCGAGTGGGATATTTTGAGGTAATATCAAAAGTGACTACATCAGCAATATCCGTCATTGTAAAGGAAAACTGTGTACAGTATAGGGCTGAACGATTTTGGGAAAAAATGTAATTGCGATTTTTCTGACAAATATTGATTGCGATTTGCGATATTTGTTTTTAAGCGACCCAACGGAAGTTTATTGTAAAATGCGGCCATATCTCCGGCTAGGAAGGTCGCATCAACGTGCTCCCGTCTCTAGCACCCCCGCAGCCCGAGCTACGAGTGAAAGAACTAAACTTACATGAAACTTCCATTGGGTTGCTTCAGTTTAAGATTCACCCTGTAATAGAAACATGTGATGGAGCATTACTAACCTGACTCAGACGGTTTGTTTCACCAAACCATCTAGGAAAGCTCCATTGGAAGCCATTTGGAAAAGTATTTCAAAAATACTTGGCAGGTGATTGGATCAATCTGTCTATCACCTTATATCATGGGCCACTTCTGATTGGTTAACAATGGCTGGTGCATGTGGAGAACAGCACTTCTGATTGGTTAACAATGGCTGGTGCATGTGGAGCACAGCACTTCTGATTGGTTAACAATGGCTGGTGCATGTGGAGCACAGCACTTCTGATTGGTGTGGATGACTGACACACAAGAAGAACAAAACATGTTTATAAAAAAAGAAGAATTTGATAATCGCATCATTTAAAATCGCGATTACGATTTAAAATCGATTAATCGTTCAGCCCTAGTACAGTACCAAACTAAAGCACATAGGCAAGGTCAAAGTAAAAAAACGGGAAATAAGCCATTTCTTTACAGTGTAATCTTAACTAATAGAAACAGTGGCCGGACCTAATAAGAACACATGAAGACCTAAATAATGCTTTGAAATACATTTGGGGTCTCTTCATTTAGTAAACTAATGAAAAGATAACTAACTCATCACCCTTTGATCACTCTTTTGAAATTAAGACTCTTCTCTCGATAACCAAAGACGTGGATTTGAAAGCAACACAGGTGTCCTTCAAAAGAAGTGACAATTTTGCAGATGCTGCATGATTCATCCACCCCAAAAGGATGTGTTTTGCATATTAAACAGTTCAAGGTTCTCTTGTGCTCTCCACCATGCGTCACGAAAAAAAAATGATGAACCTTGTTCTTTAAGGCTGATTTGAAACTGCGGTTGCTCCGAGTAACGACGTGTTGCTCGGCACAGCAGGTCAAACAGCAGGCAGTGAAGTGAAGCTGAACTGTGCAAAACAAGCAAGCCGGATGATGCCATTCATTAATGGGAACATCGGTGCAAAGTGAAGAGCGGAGCGGAGAGGAGGTCCCTTAGGATGCGAGAGGGAGTCAGACGGAGAGCGAGGGGAGGGATGAGGAGGAGCGAGGGGCTTACTGCCAGAACTTTACACTCCATTATTGAGGCAGTGCAAAGGGACACACACACACACACACACACACACACACACACACACACACACACACACACACACACACACACACACACACACACACACACACACACACACGAGTGGGTGCGTAGTGGGCCTTCAGGAGATGATGAAGTAAGGATTCCCACCCCCACCAGCTCTGAGTTGCACCTGCAGGTGTCGGTTGAGTGAATCTCCACTGGAAGGGTAGAGCTCCCAGGTTTTTCCCACAGAAACTGGAATATAGCGAACAGGACCAGCTCTAACCTGTTTACACGAGCAGAATTTAAGAATAAAAATACACATAGCTAAAACTACGGGTTAGAAGGCTAGTGTTAGCAAGGCTTACGGGTAGTCAACACACTTAACCAGGCGAGAATTAGACTAACACAACACAATTGACATCCTCTTAAAACTGTATTTGAACACCAAGCTGAGACTGTACAGTGGTGACATATAAATACAATAAATCCAGGAAAATCACAAAGGAGAATTTGTTAGCAAGTCGGAAGCAGAAATGTTCCAGAATGCAAAACTAAACTAAAAATCTAAGTAGTTTGCTATAGTGAATAAATCAAATGTATTAAGTAGGCAAAACAACCTGGCCATGATTTCAGAGATTATTATGAATTGTGAGTTTGATTATTTGGTCAATTAAAGCAAGTATAGATGGACAGTAAGCTTCAGGTGGTGCATATCATCGAACTCTGGGCGTCAATATTAATAAATAATTGACTTTCCAAAAGAGCAAGTGATAAAGAAATACGTTTGGATCTGTTGTCTTTTCTGTACAGCTTTCCTACAATGTTGGTTGAATGGATGAAAAACATTACAATTGTGTAGGATTTTAATTTAGAAAAATACTGTGAGAAATGTATCACTATGGGAAACAATATTAAAAAGCTAATATTACAACAATTATTGAAATCTTTGTTTTTTTATGAATAATTTCCAACTGAAAGGTGAATGGCCTTTGAGCTGCAGAGATGTGTGCATGAAGCAGAGATAACACTAGTGTGGGTAAGTGGTGGTGTGTGGCAGAACTAATGATAGGTAAAGATGTCTCGCCACATTTTGTCCACTAAGGCTAAGCCAAGGAAACCTGCAAATTAACAGGAATACCGAAACACACCTAAATGTCTGCTGTATTTGATCAGGGCCAAGATTTGCCAAAAAAAATGAAATGTTTACATTGATGCTTTCTACAAATGCCAGGTGTTTTATGCCTAGTGTTACGCCAGACGAGTATGGCATACCAGTGACATTTTATTATCAGGCATTTGAGTCTGTCAGTCAACAAAAACTGAGATACCGGTATGTAAAATCCAAGCATGACACTCAAACAAAGACTTGCACCATAGTTATCTATCAAATGACTTTCTACCTGCACAAACCTGTTTGCTGAACTCACAAATTAGTAACTAGAGCTGCCGTCTCTGTGGACAACGTGACCGACAAGTTTGTCAAAGTCAAACTGTGTTTAAGAATCCCACATGTCAAGTGGAACAGTAGGACAAACAAAATGGCACTCTTACGTGTACTAGCTTCACTTTAGCTAGCTTTATTCAAACTATTTTCCTCAGACAATCCCTCCTTTCTACCACACAACCTCTGTGTCAGTTGTAAACACAAGGGCAAAGTGGTCATTCCCCCTTGCATGCTATTTCTAATTTCCTCTCTTCCACACTACGCTGAGGCTAACTTCAAAGTGATTTCCATGCTCTCTTCCTCAAGAGAGTCTTTTCATACCCAGAGACACTGTGGGAGTCTAACCACCCAGCTTTTCCCTCTCCGCTAGTCAAAGGTTAACACGAGTTCAAGGAAGTTGCCTCACGTCACAAGCGAAAAGCCTTGCATTCCAGTCACACACACACACCAGGAAGAAAAACACTGAGCAAACATTCACCACAGAAATATATTCAAAGACATTTAATCCCAGGAGACAGAGGCAAGAGAGAGAAGGAAGGATAGAAAAGCAGAATAAAAGAGCAGTTTAAATTCAGACCTACTGACAGTTTGGGCTGGCAGCGTTCCCACATGCTACTGACACACTCATTTCAAGAACAATTTCCTCCTCCCTCTCCCAGCTCCTCCCCCCTTCCATTTCTTCCCCTGAGCCCTCCTCTTCCGCCTACAGAAAACACCGCCTCACTTCCTGTTTACCTCTGACCCCTAGTTATGCCCCGCCCTTGTCTGGCAGGCCTCCACACAGACAGGCTGAAGAGGCCGGACGCAAACAGTTAGAGCACTTGACACACAGAGAGGAGGGTGATAGACAACACGAGAGAGAGAGAGAGAGAGTGAGAGAGAGAGAGAGAGAGAGAGAGAGAGAGAGAGAGAGAGAGAGAGAGAGAGAGAGGACGCTGGGGGA